GTCCTTGACACCATCTATTGACTGCCTGGTGCACAGGTGACATGTCTACAGTGTCGTCCTCCCCACAAAGGTCAGAGAGCTGACAGTCCACCACAGTCTCCTACAGAGAGAGAGAGAATTTTAAAAACATAGACCTAATATACAGTATACATAGACCTAATAGTACATAACAAGGAAACATCATTGACATTTACCAGCTAGACCAGGAGGATTTAGTTACCAAGCTGACTACCAGCCTGAGCTTTCAAAAGTCATAGCTATTAGCTAGCTATCATCATAAGGGTTAGGTTTCAGGCTTAGGCTACATTCATTCTTGCTATCAACAGCCAGCAGGCTTACTATTTTTAGGAATCATATCACAGATAAACAGACACCTAATCAGATATTTAGCTATGTAGCTAGTTATCTAGCTAGCTAATAATTATATGGGTATCATACATTTTACTGGAAAAATAGCAATTTTGCAGCAGCCCTTTCTTGTGGCTGTCTGAATCAGACACTAGCCAGTTAATTTTAGCTCTTAGCTAATACTAATAACAAATGCTTTTCAAATTGTCAATATGAGCGTTTTGGCTGTTATCAAATGTTAATTTCATAGACTCATCTTATCAATCAGGGGAAAAAAATACTCTAAAATGTCAATATTATAATTACCAACATAAAAACAGTTTACCTTTATATTTTGTCCTGATCTCAGTGACAAAGCTGTCAACGTTGTGAGAAATCTTTCAGGTCCAGTGGAGGTGAGGCACCTCCTGGTGGCAGCATTCACTTTCAGTCCCCTAACCAAAACTCACAATTTGCTCAATCCTGCCAATGACGCACGCATTGGCTTCAGTCGTTACTATGGCAATTCAAGATGGCGCTACCCATACCTCAAAAAAACGATGTTCAATATCCATATCCTAAAAATAGAGATGTTTCTATGTTAAATGCACATTTAGTATTAGCGGGTGGAATCTCTTTGCTTAGCTTTACTTCCTAATGTGTTTCCATTCCCATTTAAAGGGTTTATTTTCTTGTCTCTACACTTATTACATTTTAGCTTCAAGGCAAAAGCACAGTTAGCCTACTGCTAGCTAAAGCTAACAAAATCTCTTCACCAAGTAACGCTAGCCTATCAAAAATGAACGATTACCCCTCTAATACAAATATAAAAGTACAGTAGGCCTACCTTACAACATTACAACAAACCATGCTTAATTTTAATAAATATCATGCAAATCATTAGGCTTCATGTGGCAAAAGCAAATTGCGACTGAAAACGTGGGTATAATTCACCGGGGAGTTGAGATGTTGAGCTGTTTTATATGGAAGCCCAATCCCGCCACTCAAAAATAAAGGTTATGTTTCTTCATTTTTACCATTGTGTTGCAATTTCCATCTATCCCGCTGCAGAGTTCAGCACGGTAAACGTGTGGCGAGCAGGCATTTGCCCCAGCACATTTGACTTGGTTGAATAAAAAATATTGACACAAAAGCATTGAAAAGAGGGTCAAAGCACTGTTGTTTAGACTGAATCGCCGCATGATTTGTTTGACAGGATTTTAATGTTTTCATCCTCCCTAGGGCCAGGGGTTTTGCAAGGATTTAAAAAACAACAACATATGACCTGATAGAAAACTCTGTTCCCATCACAGCTGATTTATTACTGTCATACCTTGAGTTTTACCTGGTTACAATTTCCCCCCCACCACTCTGGGACCTGTGGTGCCACCTTTGAAATCACCACACAGTGTTACAAATGAAAAAACATTATATTCGTATGACCTATTTCAAAATGTAGACTTACGCAGTTTTACTTGCGTATCTCAACATTTTGACATACATATCTAAACATTTTGAGGTAGTGCTCGAGACGTGATAATTTCGCAGCAGTATGGTCTCTCAAGAATCGATACCTCTCGAGAACCTCTAGAAAACGTCCCTTTGCTATCGTCAATGTAAAAATGGTCTAAGAGGACTATATATTTTGAAAGATGAGACGTTGACGATTATAAATACTGCTTTGATGTCATACGAGCAAGTCAAACACCGGTGAGACTAAATATGCACTTCACATTTTCACATCATAAAACTCATGCCATATACATACAGTGTCGACGTTTATGATCACTGTGTTTGATGTACAGTTACAAGATGACATGGTGTCATACCCTGGGTTATTCTGAACAGAATGATGTTTGTCTACTGTGAAGAAAATGTACCGCGGCACACGCACCTGAATGCACTCAAGACTCCTTTCTATGCGCACCAAAATTACATTTTGTTTCTCTGAATTGCATTGTGAAAGCCTAACACTGTAATATCGTATTTTATAACTTTGGATTGCGTAAACAACAACAGTAATTGTGTGATGGCAGGGATGCAGGGTTGTGTTCCAAACAAAACTACTACAAGTGTGCTTGCTCTAGTTCCTCAACGGCATGGCTAGGAGAGCTCAAAACAGCACCTTATAGTTGAAGACTGTTCTTTGAGCCATACAAGTAGATTGATTTTACTTAGGAAATGTGCACACTTTGGAGAGGTGTGTGGCCATTTGGAGACACCAGTTAGTCCTCTCACTCAAACCCTTGTAATTATTTTGTCTTATGTTGCACCTACAACACATTTTCCAGGAATATTCTTATCATGTTCCTGAATGTATCCAAAGTATTTTCAGATTTCATTATAAACAAATACGTCGAAATATACAGTAAATGTAAAATGCACATAAAATCAACAGTGTAATGTTTGGATTCAGCCTTGTGTCAGGTGAACTGTTGTGTCCTCACCTTTGGTCTGATAATTTCCCCATAATCTCCAGTGTTCCCTTTCAATTGCTACCATGGTTATGCATTTCATATATTTATTCTGTAAGAAACATTTTAATTTAGGCCAATTCCCACGGGTCTAAACGGTTAAGGGGAGGGTAGGCTATGCTTGGTTTTGTATCAAATTAAACAAAATGGGCAGAAAACAATTGTTTTTTTATGTTTCTAAATACGAGATTCACCGGCACAAAAGGCACGCTCCATGGCCAATGTGTTTCATGGCTTGATAGGCTGTGCTTCTGCTCTCAAAAGCCAATGCCATTACTAACTGCGATACCGTTAACACCTGCTTTTGGTGGGTCTTAAAACATCCCGTTAGCGCTGCATGAAATTGTCACTTTTGACCTTGTTTTTAAGGACACACCTCAAATATGGTGGTCCTCTGTAGCTCAGCTGGTAGAGCACGGCGCTTGTAACGCCAAGGTAGTGGGTTCGATCCCCGGGACCACCCATACACAAAAAATAAATAATGTATGCACGCATGACTAAGTCGCTTTGGATAAAAGCGTCTGCTAAATGGCATATTATTATTATTATAAATATTGCCACCACTTCCACCTCAGCGCAAGTGAGCTGATGTTAGACTGGTAAATTGCCGAACCTGGTGTAAGGGGTGGAAAATGCCAGTGTGTTTGACACTTAGCCGCCTCAGCGCCAGCCGAAAATAGAGCCCAATCATGAGCTCAATCACTTGTTAAAGCTTGTTAGTGAGAAAACCATGTAGGTCTGTGGCAGTTAAAGTTGGGGGCTTATCACTTTAGTCATACAAGCATGGACATAGTTTTATGGCCAAGTATGGATTATTTTCAACATTCATTTGAGATAATTCAAGACAGCCTCTCAGCTCCAATTTAATTATAAATGGTCAAACAAGCTGAGACCAGGGACAGTGACTACTACATTTTTAAGAGCAAGATACTTTCAATAGTTAATCTTTAAAGTGAACTCATCAATTTAATTTCTCAGCCATCAGCATGAAGCATTATGTTTAAACAACTTGGCTTTGCAGCATGTTGAGGCCTTGCCAACCGTGGCTGTAGCTACTGCCATCTCGTCATGTAACATGCATATCTTGCGGATTTCCTCTACATAATGATTTCATGGAGCAAAGGGGCATGTAGAGATAGAGTTTTGTTTCAAACCTACCTTCCAAATTGGCTTGAAGCATTCTCAAAAAACATGGCTTTGGAAGCAACGCTGGAGAAAGAGAAAGACAGATTAATCCCAGATGATCCCTGAGACATGTTGGGTTTACAGCATACCAAACACTGCTAGAGTACAATGACAAACATTATGGGCAACATTTTCTGCCCACTAAACAGCCCTGGCAATGGGAAAATGACATGTTACTTAGAATAAGATGTTACAAAATAACTGTAGTATTTGAAATAGATAGGAGGGCACCTAATACAAAAGGAGTTTGGAATACTACAGCTTGTGATCTCATTACCTACATCTGTTGTGCACACTGTTTACTTGAGATCCACATAAATTATTGCCACAATCTCATGGACATTGTAAAAGAGAGCTTTTGAGATGCATCACAGTGCAAGTATTATGAGTAACACAGTTTTTCTTTTGTGTATTTTAGCAGTGTTTAGTAGGCAGAACATATCACCCTAAATCTATTATGGCATTGCACGGCATACCCCTTGTAAAACAACAGGGGCAGGCATGAACAGAGTACAAGAAGGGTCATTGGTGAGTAGCAAATTATAGGTTATTTTGTCACTACAATGTGATATCAAATGGGACACTGAAGCTGAAATCATAGTGGGGAGTTTCTGAACAGACTAGTGAATAATGTACAATAAAAGAGTGAAATCTTTGTCCTAAGAAAATAAACTGACTAAGACTTCATGTACACTCTGACTATATAATGCTTCCAACTCAACTCCAAAACAGAATAACAAATGTTTGGAGATGAGTAAACCAGACAGTTAGACAATGTGGGCAAAAAATGAAGCCAATTGAATTAGTGTGGTATGGAGGGTTCATTAGGAAAAGGGGATCCAACTTCTTGTGATATTTCAACTTGACAGGGGAAACCGTAAATTTAACAAGGACTGGAGGAAGACCAAAAGGAAACTCATGGATAACACAGTATTTTGTGATTGTTCTCTTGATTACAATTTTAATCAGTCTGGATGGAGTGTCTATGTCCGGCTGAGTTCTAAGATCTACTCACTACGACACTGGGGTGTCCTCGCTGGGGGCTGCAGTGGGGCTCTTATGGGGTGCAGGGTATCGGCTAGGCGGGTCAGGGGGTCTGGTTGGAGGTCTGCAGATGGCAGGCTTCTCAGCCGGAGACCTCGTTTTGATCACGCCGTCACTTTCTGCTGCAATGTAAGGAAGGAAAACCTTAGGTAAACTGTCATGAAATGTAGATTCAAATTAAAAAATCTAACACAACCAAGAGCTAACACAATGTATGAAAATCCACTTTCCAATTTCTCTTCTCATTGCACATGATAATATGGCATCAATATCACAGACCAGCTAAGTACTGTACTGCTGCAATGTGGTTAAGCTGCATATAAAATAGTATAGAATTCATAGTGTGTTTGTGTTGTGAGATGATATAGTAGGCTACAGGTTGTTCTGCTACCTTCTCTGATGACTGCAACACTTCGAGGAGGTGGTCTCCTGCCTTGGAAGGACTGCGCTCGGTTTACAGTGACTCCTGTCTCTCCATTGGCTGTTGCTGCTGTATCTGGCCTCTGACCTCCGCCCTGTAGCTTAGCGACCAGTTTGGCAACGTCAGAGTCTGAGTGTCTGTCCTGGCGGGTTGATGGCTTGGGCAGGAGGGCCTTACTCTGAGGAGGGTCCCTATGGAGCCGTGGAGGGGCGGTAATGGGTTTGGTCCTCTGGATAGGTGTGGGGCTCGTTGGGGTGTCCCCGCCAAAATTCACCCCCTCTGGTCTGCTGCCATTCTGCTCATCTATGTGACACAAACACAGGTTAAAAACAGAGTTCAATCGAAATACAAATAAAGTTCAACACATTTTCAGCATAGGCATATTCCTGAACTACCTTCTTGTGGTTGGGTTTAGTGGTTAAAGAATATGCAGGTAATTCCCCACATAGTCATAATGCAGAGGTTGCTGCTTTAGAACTGATTTTGAACTTGATATGATCATTACTTCTCCTGAGCTCCTACCTATCACATGTAGAATACTTCTACTTACAGAATGTTATGTCTTTACATGTGGTATGTGTGATCTAACCATGTTTTACCTATTAAAAAGGAATAATTAAAGCTAATAAAAACAAATGAACCACACAAACCAATATATATTATTTTAATTAGTACTTTCATTCATTCATGCATTCTGAGTATTATAAAAGCAATGTCTAAATGTGGGCATTTGGACGGATTCATTAAATAATGGAAAAAACTAAGCCTTTATAGTTAAATAAAAAGTACATTTGTGGATTAATAGTCTGTGATCCAGAGAAAAATATGTTTTGCGTATTGCGTATAGGACGGATTGCGTATAACAATTATCTATTACTTTAGGAGATTAAAAAGTAAACAGACGACTTCGGCGTACTCTTTGTCTCATCTAGTCATGCTGTTGGCCAGGTTTCCAGTGGTACATGCACTATTCAAACGCTGGATTCAGACAGGTGGTAGTTAATTGTCATGCAAAGCAGAGCTGGTTATTTGGTAACTCCAAGCAGGAACTCAGAGAAGATCACTAAATAAAATACCACACAATGGAGGGGAGGACAAGCTGCAAGTGTTCCACATCTATCCATGCCACAGTAAATGAAAGGACTGACTCACACACAGACATTTAACGCAAAGTTACAAGAGGTATAAATTACATGATTTAGCCTGAAGCAAAAACTTCCATTCAGTGAGCACACAATACCTCCTACTGCCTCTCTAAGTGCAGTTAGGAAGAGGTTGGAGTAAGCAAATATCTAGATATGGCATGCAAAATTTTTTTGACGTTTATTGCTTCCAATTCAACCAAATTGGTTTAAAATGGCTTGATAAAAGAACACACTTTTCCCTCAAAGAAGGGCATGCAATTCATGTAAAGACCAAACATTTAGAAAGAAAAGTAAAAGTACATTCTGTATTCTGTGCTATCAATTCACAAGTGCTTAAGATTCCCACATCATTCTCTCAGTAATACAGTGTCCAGAATAAACATCAGCCACCTACTGTATAAATCACCTTACACATACCAAGTGAACAATGTAATAATCTTAATATAATCTGCATTTGCAGGACAAGGGATGATAATGATAATAATGGTTATGGTGATGATGAGGATGATGATCATGATGATTAAAGCAGAGGTAAATAATTACTCTCAGTGTTCTGGACCTGGCCATAATTAACTGCTAGGTAGACGCGGGCCGGACGCTTGGAGATGGTGATTGGTTGCCGTTTCCTTGGGGTGAACCTTGGAGGAGGCATTGGTGGGGCTGTGGAACTCTCCTCTGGTGCACTGCAGAATATCTGTAATCACAGCAGCTCGTCCAAAAGGACTTACATTTAATATACATTACATTATACTTGAGAATACGCATTAGTACCTAGATCAGTGGTTCCCAAACTGTGCACCTTGTGCATTCTACTATTCTACTATTACTATGCCCGACTCAGGCTTTCAACATACTCTTGAAAGTTGTAATAGTAAAATACACAAGGTGCAATTACGAAATTGGGTAGTACATCAGCAGTTTTCCTCTTGTCATGCCAGTCATTGCAGACCTTAGAGAGCCATTTATAACTTGTCAGAAATGTCCAGATCAAGTAACCCATGTCAGTTAACATTTTTTAGCTAGGTTGTTCCCCAATGATGGAAGGGGGGACCCCCCCGAGTGGAAAAGTTTGAGATTCACTGATCGAGAATGAACCATGGCCTACTTGAATGTGTATGATGCCACAGTACATCAAATAACAATCACTTGACTCTTAAGCTCTTTGCAAGGGAGGAGCAGGTAACTGAATCTTTCAAATTCACCTTGGTGTAGTCCTCAATGAGAATCTCAACAACAATGTTCTGGAACTTTATATCCAACATGGCTGCCACAGTCTCCTCTTCTGCCCTCATCAGGGTGGGGCCGAAGATCACGCCCATGTTGGAGGGAGTCATCAGGTTGTCCCCACTGTTACCGCAGACACTGTCAATAGGAATCCAGATGGGTTCGTAAACAACATGACTCTAAAGTCATGTCCAATAGGAACAAACACCTATCTAATAGTGAACAACTTAATGCCAGTTAATGTCAATTTATAATTGCACATCTATCATAAATTAATAAACAGGATATTGATGATATTGGAGGATTGGACAGGTATTTCCCAATTTAAATGTACATTACATTTGCACTATACATAGATCCAAGTGTCTCAGTCCGATACTGTAACCATCTGAACAGATGCCAGTTAATCCCTTCACTGAGCCCATGGGCAACACAACACCACAGATATGCAATTAAACCACAATAAAAGGCCTAAATAAGAATAACCCTTGCAACTGCATCAGTTAGGAGACAAGGCACAGAGGCTGCAGCACAACAGCGGCATATCATATCAGGTTAGCTCTTACTTGACCAGGTGTTGGATCAGTAGGCTTAGCATTTCTCGATTCTTCTCTGGGAGTTTGTACGTCAGGCAGTGGATTGCACCCAGTCGATCAGCTAGATTATCAGATTCTAAGAGATGAGAAATACTATATACATGAGCAATAATTTATATATTATCCTCAATTGAGATTGACCTAAACATCACTGCTTTTAGGGCATTTATTTGTTGCCGATTTTACACAATCCATTATGTACAGTTGAAGTCCTCTGTAGCTCAGCTGGTAGAGCACGGCGCTTGTAACGCCAAGGTAGTGGGTTCGATCCCCGGGACCACCCATACACAAAAAAAATGTATGCACGCATGACTGTAAGTCGCTTTGGATAAAAGCGTCTGCTAAATGGCATATTATTATTATTATTAAGTCGAAAGTTTACATACACTTAGGTTGGAGTCATTAAAACTCGTTTTTCAACCACTCCACAAAGTTCTTGTTAACAAACTATACTTTTGGCAAGTCGGTTAGGACATCTACTTTGTGCATGACACAAGTAATTTTTCCAACAATTGTTTACAGACAGATTATTTCACTTATAATTCACTGTATCACAATTCCAGTGGGTCAAAAGTTTACATACACTAAGTTGACTGTGCCTTTAAACAGCTTGGAAAATTCCGGAAAATGATGTTATGGCTTTAGAAGCTTCTGATAGGCTAATTGACATCATTTGAGTCAATTGGAGGTGTACCTGTAGATGTATTTCAAGGCCTACCTTCAAACTCAGTGCCTCTTTGCTTGACATCATAGGAAAACCAAAAGAAAGACCTCAGAAAAAATTTTTGTAGACCTCCACAAGTCTGGTTCATCCTCGGGAGCAATTTCCAAACGCCTGAAGGTACCACGTTCATCTGTACAAACAATAGTACGCAAGTATAAACACCATGGGACCACGCAGCCATCATACCGCTCAGGAAGGAGACGCGTTCTGTTTCCTAGAGATTAACGTACTTTGGTGCGAAAAGTGCAAATCAATCCCAGAACAACAGCAAAGGACCTTGTGAAGATGCTGGAGGAAACAGGTACAAAAGTATCTATAGCCACAGTAAAACCAGTCCTATATCGACATAACCTGAAAGGCCGCTCAGCAAGGAAGAAGCCACTGCTCCAAAACCGCCATAAAAAAGCCAGACTACAGTTTGCAACTGCACATGGGGACAAAGATCATACTTTTTGGAGAAATGTCCTCTGGTCTGATGAAACAAAAATAGAACTGTTTGGCCATAATGACCATCGTTATGTTTGGAGGAAAAAGGGGGACGCTTGCAAGCCGAAGAACACCATCCCAACCGTGAAGCACAGGGGTGGCAGCATCATGCTGTGGGGGTGCTTTGCTGCAGGAGGGACTGGTGCACTTCACAAAATAGATGGCATCATGAGGAAGGACAATTATGTGGATATATTGAAGCAACATCTCAAGACATCAGTCAGGAAGTTAAAGCTTGGTTGCAAATGGGTCTTCCAAATGGACAATGACCCCAAGCATACTTCCAAAGTTGTGGCAAAATGGCTTAAGGACAACAAAGTCAAGGTATTGGAGTGGCCATCACAAAGCCCTGACCTCAATCCTATAGAAAATGTGTGGGCAGAACTGAAAAAGCGTGTGCGAGCAAGGAGGCCTACGAACCTGACTCAGTTACACCAGCTCTGTCAGGAAGAATGAGCCAGAATTCACCCAACTTATTGTGGGAAGCTTGTGGAAGGCTACCTGAAACATTTGACCCAAGTTAAACAATTTAAAGGCAATGCTACCAAATACTAATTGAGTGTATGTAAACTTCTGACCCACTGGGAATGTGATGAAAGAAATAAAAGCTTAAATAAATCACTCTCTACTATTATTCTGACATTTCACATTCTTAAAATAAAATGGTGATCCTAACTGACCTAAAACAGGGAATTCTTACTAGGATTAAATGTCAGGAATTGTGAAAAACTGAGTTTAAATGTATTTGGCTAAGGTGTACGTAAACTTCCGACTTCAACTGTATACATGGAGTTTTAATTAAATATGCATAGACATTGTGCATGAGAAAGTAAATCAGCAAAGCCTAATCCTCATCCCAGTCAAAACATTTCAGGGGTCCAGCTCCACACAGCTGCATTGTGGTGTAATGTGAAACAAGGACCTCATGCAGTTGAACAATAGGGCTCCTGGGGCATGGGAGTTTATCTCAGTTAAGAGGATTAGAGCTGGTGTACAACATTAGAGCGTGTGTACTTTTTTTCTTCCCTTTTATAGCTGTAACCCAGCCTGTTGAACTTGAGAATGAACTCAATCTGATGGAGAACAAATGCACAATGAATTAACTCTATGGAGAGCATTTGGCAAACATATGACAAGATGTGGAAGTAAACAACCTGTTGCTCAGCTCCCAAAACCAACCTTTAAAATGTAATGACTTGTACGATACAAATGTACAGTAGTGTCAGACAAAATGTGTCCTACAAAAACATGCCCTCACATGAGAAGGAAATGTACGTTTTATGTGCAATGAGACTATGCTAAAGATCTATAAATCTGACGTCTGACCTACTTTACATGTTACAGAAGTCCATCAGTTTAGGGAACTGGGGCAGTTTCTTTTTAAATGTGTATGCCATATGCAAATAAGATATGATCTGATCTTGAAGTGGGTTTCAGTAATTGTTTCTCCAATTCATTGTTGTTTTTACGTCAGTAAGTGTGAAAACACGTCTTACTTGCTGCTAAGATGAGGTCCCTGTTGAGACCGTAGGTCATCAAAGGCTCTGTTAGGCTCCTGTGGATGAACACACGCGATCAGGTAAATAAGTACAGTACAAATACTCCAACACTCACATCATACCCTAAAACACCCTTTTTAACCTCTTAAGGATCGGACCCTTTTTTTTCCAAATTTTCGCCTAAAATGACATACCCAAATCTAACTGCCTGTAGCTCAGGACCTGCAAGGATATGCATATTATTGATACCATTTGAAAGGAAACACTTGGAAGTTTGTGGAAATGTGAAATTAATGTAGGAGAATAACACATTAGATCTGGTAAAAGATAATACAAACAAAAAACATGCATTTTATTTTATCATCTTTGAAATGCAAGAGAAAGGCAGTAGTCCCCTGTAGCTCAGTTGGTAGAGCATGGCGCTTGCAATGCCAGGGTTGTGGGTTTGTTTCCCACAGGGGGCCAGTATGAAAATGTATGCACTCACTAACTGTAAGTCGCTCTGGATAAGAGCGTCTGCTAAATGACTAAAATGTAAAAATTTGTAAAAAGGACACAATATAATATTGCAGTTTAGGTGCAATTTAGATAGCAGTGTATGTGCAAAGTTTCAGATTAATCCAGTGAAGCATTGCAATACTGGACTATTTTGTTTCAAGTCTTCCCAAATATGCCAAATTGGTCAATTGATACATTTTCAAGTACATAACTATAGAGAACATACAAAAATGATATGGTAATACAAAATGTAAGTTTACACACTCCCAGGAATGTCATACATGATGGATCATTCTGAATTAATTTGAGAGGCTACTGCCAAATTTCTCTTTATCAAAACTTTCCTTCCTAATCTGAAATTAGATTTATTACTGCAGTGTTAAGGCATGAGAGACCAAAGGCCTTGAGTAATCTCCTTCAAACAGCTGCCTGGCCTCTTCTAAGTGTGGTGAGATGACCTGTGAGTAAATCATCATGAGGGGTATTGGGGGAGGATAAAAACCTGGCCTTGAAGCCAAGAGGCCTTGTCACTGAGTACTTCAAACAGCAAACAATTATACTAGGCTCATGGAGCAGAGAACAACCTCAGCCAGCATAGATTATTACAAAGTCTCTCTAATCACTACACATAACTTACTTGAAACATGGAATAACATTTTCGTATAAAACATATACAGAATATACAGTCTGGAAATGCCATAGAACTGCAAAATGTACATACTATACTGTGCATACTGTACATTACATGCAGTACAGCGCCCTATATATTTTGATATGGTAGGACGCAATCCGGCGCTGCTCACTCTTGGATTGCATCCTACCTGACAGGTCGCTCCTACCAGGTGGCGTGGCGAGAATCTGTCTCCGCACCATGTGCTCTCACCACTGGTGTCCCCCAGGGCTTAGTTCTACCCCTTCTCATATTCTCTCTATACACCAAGTCACTTGGCTCTGTCATATCCTCACATGGTCTCTCCTATCATTGCTACGCAGACAACACACAATTAATTTTCTCCTTTCCCCCTTCTGATAACCAGGTGGCGAATCGCATCTCTGCATGTCTGGCAGACATATCAGTGTGGATGTCGGATCACCACCTCAAGCTGAACCTCGGCAAGACGGAGCTGCTCTTCCTCCCGGGGAAGGACTGCCCGCTCCATGATCTCGCCATCACGGTTGACACTCCATTGTGTCCTCCTCCCAGAGTGCAAAGAACCTTGGCGTGACCCTGGACAACACCCTGTCGTTCTCCGCTAACATCAAAGCGGTGACCCGATCCTGCAGGTTCATGCTCTACAACATTCGCAGAGTACGACCCTACCTTACAAAGAAAGCGGCACAGGTCCTAATCCAGGCACTTGTCATCTCCCGTCTGGATTACTGCAACTCGCTGTTGGCTGGGCTCCCTGCCTGTGCCATTAAACCCCTACAACTTATCCAGAACGCTGCAGCCTGTTTGGTGTTCAACCTTCCCAAGTTCTCTCATGTCACCCCGCTCCTCCGCACACTCCACTGGCTTCCAGTTGAGGCTCGCATCTACTACAAGACCATGGTGCTTGCCTACGGAGCTGTGAGGGGTAACGGCACCTCCTTACCTTCAGGCTCTGATCAGACCCTACACCCAAACGAGGGCACTACCTTCATCCACCTCTGGCCTGCTAGCTCCCCTACCTCTACGGAAGCACAGTTCCCGCTCAGCTCAGTCAAAGCTATTCGCTGCTCTGGCACCCCAATGGTGGAATAAGCTCCCCCATTACGCCAAGACAGCGGAGTCACTGACCACCTTCCGGAGACACTTGAAACCCTACCTCTTTAAGGAATACCTGGAATAGTATAAAGTAATCCTTAGCTGAGTGCTAATGGACTTCAGAGAAAGGTTGATGTAACATAATTCTATAGAAATTGTTGTTCCAGAGCAGCTGGCTCTTGTGTGTCACCTGCTGGATGATTTAAGAGGACGAGAACACACCTGAGATAAAACTTCATTGCACTGGTGATGGTTTTTATGTCCAAGTCACTGCTGTAGAAATCCACATCTCCTGGGCATTTCTGGTCTACAGAGAGAGGAGAGAGCCGATTAAAAACAAACAATCAGAAATTGTAAAAACAAAATATATATATGCAGAGGCCCTTGCAAACAACCTTGAAAACAAATTCTGAGAAGATAACTGCTGGCAAGTTATTAAAGTATTAATTTACTTTGAGTTTATTTGTCTCAGTTAATCTATTCATAAGCAACCATTTATTTTATTCCTTCATTCAAAAGGCAAGTAAATATAACATTTCAATGTTTACACAACAACATCATTATAGAGGGCTGCAGAAATGGATAAATGATTATAATAAATTAAGCCTTTGCAATAGCACATTGTTTAATATTGGATTAATAAATAGTATTGCCTGTCACATAGTCCTCCACCTTAGGGGCGAGGGAATTACCTATAAGCTAGTCCAAATCCTGCTGTGTGTGCCAGTGAAACAAGGGAAATGAAACATCTTAATAATTGTATTCTGCTCCAAACAGTGCTTCTGTTTCTATGCATTCCTCAATCCCAACTAAATAGAGAGCACAGATGTTGACTGGGTAATTTCCTCACCAAAAAATACATTTAAAAGCTTCTGCACTTGGATGTTGCTGCCAACAGTTCTGTACACTCCTTCTTGTGTGAGTCCTGTAAAAGAGAGCGGGAGATGGAGAGAGAGAGTGGGTGGGGTTGAGGTAAAAGGAAACTAAAGGGGGAGTTTCCTCCCGAGAAATTCCAAGCAGTGGAAATGTACAGGCTGTTCCTCAGTGCAGTCCTGTTTGAACTGGATTGAAAATGGGGACGTAGCAGACAACGCCTTGACAACGCTAGCCTACGTCCCAGCCTCTCCAAATGAATGATTTTCTTCACTGCTCCAGTGGACGGCTGGAGTTTATGTTATTATATGAGGCTTGCATATCTTACTGGTTGTGAAAGATACGAGGAGCATATCATGGTGCTGGTGCCTCACCAAACTCATAAATACAGACGGAGTGTCTTTCTACTAAATTAAAGTCGAGTATGGAAGAGTGAATTAGGGAGGGCTGAAGTGAGAAGGCCCATGGAATCTAAAGAATTTAAGCTGCTTGAGAAATAGAAACAGTTGAATGTGAGGTGCCCACACTGTTAAAAGTGTTCTGATGCCACATGTGAATAGACTCCCTCTGGAGTAATACCCTTGTTGCCTACCTGGAGGCATGATTACTAATAAGCTATGCATAGTACTGGTGCGTTATTAATAGTTCCATTGATGTAAACAAAGTAAAACAGCTAATTTAGTATGGACTGAAGTACTCTACTATAGAGAAGTTTATTATGTTGAGCTACATGCCAAAGTTATGCTTTCCTGGCTGGACGTCACATTGGAGCCAGTGTGTTTTTATTTACTGCTCGCCTCTGGTGAGAAGGTTAATTTAGGATAGCAGTGAGGCTTTAGCGGATCTCATTCCAAACACAACTCATCTCTGCCCTCTAAAGGGCAATGAGGCAAACTGACTAGACTATGACAAAACTGGCATGAAATCTGATCGGCGACATACAAAGAGAAAACACATGGTGTGGACTAGAACTTTCTGGTAACTTTACCTTTAGTTTCAACGAAGTTTATGCATTTTCTCACAAACTTGAATCCAACTTCATTCAATTCCACTGTGGAAGGCAAGTAACATTTAACAGATTTCACAAGCAGTGGAATGACATACACGTGTGTATGGATGTTCTATGAGATTAATACATTTTAATTCACTATAATATACTGCAGGTAAAAAACAGAAAAATTAACACCGGTAATGGTACATACTTTCAGCTTGCTTGTGAATTGGGGAATGATAAATCTGGAATGAAAGGAAAATGTAAGACACCAAGAAACTGAAATATATGTGGAGCTTTCTGTGGCCATCATAAATTATCTGTATAAATAATCCTGAATATATGCTATTATTATAATAATATTATTGTTTATCAAAACCAAAGTAAAACAGCAAGATGAGGACTATAAAACACAATCAATCAAATGTATCTATAAAGCCCTTTTTACATCAGCAGATGTCACAAAGTGCTATTCAGAAACCCAGCCTAAAACCCCAAACAGCAAGCAATGCAGATGTAGAAGCACAATGCCTTTACAGTACAGAATAACATCTGGACCAGGGGGGATGTATGGACCCTACAGTAGGAGGCAGAAAATAAACTCACAGGCTCTTTTCCGTACATGGCCTCCATCCACAACTTCCTGTTGGCCTCTGAAACAGCCTGGAGTGTGACAGGTGTGTTTCTATGGTTATAGGAACAAGTGTCACAGTTAGGGCATAGACAACATTGCATTTGTTTGACTACAGTTTTGTTACATGAGACCTTTAGTCCAAATCATTATTAGTTTAAATCTACATGTAACTGCCAAAATAAAGGAAACACTTGAGTATGAGGGATACAAAGTATATTGAAAGCAGGTGCTTCCACACAGGTGGTGTTCCTGAGTTAATTAAGCAATTAACATCCCATCATGCTTAGGGTCATTTTGCCCATTATTCAGGCTACCATGGCTAGAAGAGATCTCAGTGACTTTGAAAGAGGGGTATCAAAGGAACATAGAAAAAAGATTAAAGGGTGTGTGTGTCTCAGTCACCAGATCTCAACCCAATTGAACACTTATGTGAGATTCTGGGCAGTTTCCACCACCATCAACAAAAACACAAAATTATGGAATTTCTTGTGGAAGAATGGTGTCGCATCCCTCCAATAGATTTCCAGAATCTATGCCAAGGCGCATTGAAGCTGTTTTGGCAGCTCGTGGTGGCCTAACACCCTTGTAAGACACTTTGTTGGTGTTTCCTTTTGGCAGTTACCTGTATTTGTCTGGCCTGAGTGATCAACATTTTATGAGCTGGTGTCTGACATCCCTCTGTCTGATATGAAATGTCAGTGCATGGCTTGCGTCCCTCTGCTGTGCATATTGTACAGAATGCCTTGCTGAGTTCATGGTGTTCCCTTCCCCTGAAAATCACAGAGTTTGCCATCTGCTTCCAGCAGGATATAGAGGAGCCTGCTGCCAACTGATTGTTTGGGCTAGAATCCACTCTGTACCCACACACTCAGTGTCCTTGTAGACCACCTGTTCACCTCACTGCTCAAACTTGTTTATCCCACAAGGCATGTATCATCTTATACAAAGTCTACCTCATCTCAAAGTGACGCGTTAGTACTAACCTCTCATAAGTTTCAATATCAAAGCAGAAGCGCTTGTCTATGGACTCTGTCTTTCGGCGGAAGCAGGATTTAAGTTTCAGCTCTGTGGGGCCCTGGAAAAACCATGACAGTGTGTGGGTAAAAGGAGGAAGAGAGATAATCTTTACATTAAAGCTTTGGAGAAAGTTAATTAAAAAGTAAAAACACAAGTAATATATGAGCACATATAATTGAATAATTCTATTGAGTCTGATCAAATATCAGAGATGTGACAAATAGTTGTTCAAGTGTCTTATAAAGATTATATGACCCATTTTATAACCTACCTGTTTGGTTGCAGGTTTTGGTTCAGCAGGAACCATGACAAACAGCTTACTGTCTTTGTGATACTTACAGTAGTACTTCACCCATGACACACCCAAGGCCCCTGGGAGAGAAGGGTGATAGGATATGATGTCAGGTCAGGGCTTATTCAAAACAACATGTTGAGAGGAATGTAGCTGGTTTACAAACAAACTGTAGCATGCATACTTACACTTCTCCTGAGAGTACAAGTAGCCCTCAATGATTGGCTGGCTGTGCATTTTGCCGATCTGGGTTGGATGCTTCATTCTCTTCATCAGCTCCTCAATCTCCTCACGAGTGCTCTCAAAGTGGTTCCGCGTCTACAGATCACATCAAAACACACTCAGACTCACGGTCATGTTGGATGGTTATTGGGAAGCCCGATTACAGCTTCATGGAGTCCTAACTAGACCCATCACCATTACTATATCTATCGCTACCAGCATTAGGCATCAACATTATTGAGTCTCATTTTATTAACTAATGTTGTCATTACCATCGGTAGCTACTCACATTCTGCAAGCTGAGCTGCAACTCCTGCTTATAGGGCATGAAGTCCTGAGTCATCTCCACCGTCAGGCTGTTGAGTGTTAGGATACTGTGAAGAAATGCCAGCACCTGTTCATTGAAAACAACGCAACATACAAGTGATTGTTAGTATATTGATAGTTATTCATAAATGGTCCTGTCACTATATTCTTATAATGGCCAAATTTATTTTATAATACTTAATGAAGTGAAGTGTAAGAGTTCACCTCTATACTAGCCTTGCGTACCAGACTTCTAGACTCTCATAGCTGTTCAAAGGCTGTTCTCCACACTCACTCATACTGTACTCTAACACTGACCTATTGCTAATCTAGCCATTGGTTCAAATGAGAAATCAATGGGAAAGTAATTATTTCCTAGTGTGCCATGTTAGACTTGCCTGTCTCAATGTGCAGTGGTGTTCAGAGGTTAATTATGGTTTGTTCAGGATGTGTGCCATTGATCAACTGTGGCTGTATCTTATAATAGGTTACACAGGCAGCATCTGTAGCCATGTCTGTGGATATCCATGCAGCAACACATGGAGCTGTAAACAGGAAGTGTGGGCGACGGAGAAGAAGAAAACACTTACAGGCTCCACCACATCAAACTTCTTCCTGTCCTGCACCTGCTGGATCTGGTACACATACTCCACTGACGACTCATAGAAGTTCAGCCTCTCTTTGTCCAGCAGCTCGTCAGCCTGTGGAGGAATTAAATGGTGATTACAAAAGCAGCTTATTTCCGATTAGTCTTAATATTTGTTGTTATTAGCTAAGCTTTAAGCCGGTGAGCTTGAGCCAGTTGAGTTATCCAATTAGGGAGCATTAGAATACAATATACACATTTTACAAACAAAACTTTTAATCCCTTCAGAGTTCCATTAAACTCTTTACAGGAAGTCTCTGTTGAGGGATTTCTACCAACCTCCTGCAGCTGAGTTTCCTTCTTCTTAGCAGACAAATTCAGATGTTTATCTAACTGAGAGTAATATTTTTCACTCTCTTTCTCAAACTTCTTCCTTGTTTCCTAAAAGACAGACAGAGGTTTATTCAATTAATTACACAATAATTCAACAAAACATATATTTTTTAAAATCAGTATGAGACTTCATCATTTGTCAACAAGAATAATAGCAAGATCATAATGTCATAATCGTAACAGTTTGTACATGCACATGTTGCTCCACACAGCCATAACTGGCCTTGATCAGTTGAGATCAGTGTTTCCCAACCCTCTCCTGGGGGACCACAAAACAGTCCACATTGTTGTCTCCCGAGTGGCGCAGTGGTCTAAGGCACTGCATCGCAGTGCTAGCTGTGCCACTAGAGATCCTGGTTCGTATCCAGGCTCTGTCGTAGCCGGCCGCGACCGTGAGACCCATGGGGCAGCGCATAATTGGCCCAGGGTCGTCCAGGGTAGGGGAGGGAATGGCAGGCAGGGATGTAGCTCAGTTGGTAGAGCATGGCGTTTGCAACGCCAGGGTTGTGGGTTCATTTCCCACGGGGGGCCAGTATGAAAAATAAAAATAATGTATGCACTCACTAACTGTAAGTCGCTCTGGATAAGAGCATCTGCTAAATGACTAAAAATGTAAAAAAAAATAAAATAAATGTTGTTCTAGACCTGATTCAACTACTCAAGGGGCTCTATTTTCGGCTGGCGCTAAGGCGGTGCAAGTGTAAAAACACACGTTAGTTGGTAATTTCGGCATGTAAAAACTGCCGCCAGTATCAGCTCACTTGCACTGAGGTGAAAGGGGTGGCAATATTTGAGGTGTGTCCTTAAAAACTAGCGCAAAAGTGACAAATTTATTCAGCACAAATAGGGAGATTTGACTCACCAAAAGCAGGTCTTAGCGTTAAAGCGTTTGGTTATGTCATAGCCGTGACACACAGTGACCAAATGCTCATGGAACAACAGAGATGTGCTCTTTGTGCCCGTGTACCTCATATATAGAAACATTAAAAATAGTTTTTTCCCCATTTCATTAATTTGATTAAAAAACAAGCATAATCTCCCCTTCCCTCAATGAAAGCAGTTAATTTTTTTTCTGCCCAATGCATTCGCCAGTAGCCAATACTATAAATAAAAGGTTTGGCTCGTGAGACCGCTTTGATATAAATCTTAATCACCAAAGCTTTATTAAAACATCAAGTTTAGAAGCAGCAAAACAGTCAGCGGGCATCCCCTTTTTATCTACAGTAGGACTGAATAATTTAAGTAAGTTTGGAGGAGCACGTCTTTGGTAACTGGACAAGAGGCGCTCTTTGGAAATGGGGATTAATACAAGCTAGATGGAGTATGCAGGTAGGCCTATGTGAATTGTGAATAATGCAAAAACATGCCGGCAAAAGCCTCACAAGATGACCATTTAGAAACCTTTTATGGATAGGCTACTTGGCTAATGCATGGCCAGGATAAGAAAGACACCCAACGCATTGCTGTTGAACCAGCTTTCATTATAGTAGGGTAAGGGTAGCCTACTGAGGGCTTGGTTTTTAATCTAATGAAAATAACTTAGATGTTTCTAAATACAGTACGTGGGTCACCGTCATCATCTCATCTCTCATTCCATGATGGGCATATGCACATGTAGCCTACATGAGGCGCGTTCACACCTTAACCCAGGGCTAAGGCAGATTTTAGCCTGGGCTCAGCGAGTGTTCACACTAGCACCAACCTTAGCCCAGGGCTAGCTGGCCCTGCTCCTGAGGGCCAGCTAGCCCATTTACTTTTAATAAGTAAATGTATACTATTTCATCTTTCCATCTGAGGAAAACTACCTGACAAAAAAACAAAATACTTTCATCCAGTAAAAACTAAACTGGTTTCTATGGCTAACAAAAACAGCTGCTATGCAGGCTGGCTAACATCTTCTCACTTAGCTACCCAACTGCCCCACAAACTCCACAGCTGGAAGGGCAGCAAACACTCATTTTCATATGTTTTCATAGCTTTTCTATTGACATCTAATTGAATATAACTATCCATCATAATAATATTGTGGCATCATTTCAACTGGATCAGAAAGGTTTGTCTTGTCCGTGCACAGCATTCTCTGTACAGAGAGATCACATTTCAAAAGTGAAACATTGTTTCCGAGGTCGGACAGGCAGAATCAAGGTTTATACAAACCATCACTGTTCCAAATTAAATGCTGGGCTAGAAGCAAGAGGATATAATGTGTTAATAAATGCCTTATTGCTTATATCATTGGTCGCGTGGAAGAAATAGAATGTTGGTAGCATGTGTGTTTGTCCATTAGCCCAGTGATTTGGAATACAAGTGTGAATCCTTAGCCGAGGGCTAAAGCTTGGGTTAACGAATGCTTGTGTGAACACAGGATAAGCTAGCCCAGGACCAGTCTCACTGTAGCCTGGGGCTAAGATAGCCTGGGGCTAAGAACAATGCAGTGTGAAAAGGCATGGAGTGGGTTTTACGCACATCCAAAATAATAACAAGAGCTGGCTAAAATAATGTACAATACTGTACATTCAATATAATGCCATATCAACAGTGGATAGGCCTATATCTTGCTTACTGCGAACCTCACACATCGCCTACAATAGCCTCACACTTAGTATTTTTATTTGTTTCAGGAGTAAAGACATGTACAGGCCTATACTCGTTGAAGCAACTACAACAATGTTGACTGCCAACACTTCCAACATATTTAGAAAAACTATGTATTTTGCTGTTGCTATTACTCCTTACTGTAGCCTATGCTATTTAAAAGGCCCAATGCAGCTGTTTTTATATCAATATCAAATCATTTCTGGGTAACAATTAAGTACCTTACTGTAATAGATTTCCATTAAAAATAGGCAAAAATAGCTTTTTAGCAAATAAAAAATAGTTCTCAAGCAATAATTTAGCTAGGACGGTCTCTGGGACTTGTCTGAATGGGAAGGGAAAACTGAAAACTAGCTGTTATTGGCAGAGAGGTTTGGAATTCTTTGCTATTGGTCTATTGACCAATTTTCAGCATGGTGAAATGGGAATACAATATCAGATATTTTGTTTATTTATACAACAGATTAATGTGATATCGCTGTGATTCATCTAATAGCAGAACCAAATGACCGGGATTGCAGTTGAGACGATATTAAAAGTACACAGTGCAAGTGATCAATACCATTTGAGATTCTGCGCAGATTATTATAGCAATTGTGAAGATCTCCACAGACCTGTGATGACTTATGAATGCTATCTTGAACATAGTTCATATGATTACATAAGATCTTTATAGTTTTAGTAACCTCAACACGTGGCCACAGATGTGTTACTCATTTTAAGGTTGAAGGTTACATTCGTTTGTAAGATAGTCTCCTTAACTTTTTACTTAGCTATTTACTGTATTACAAAAGTTACATTAAATTGTGTTTGGTTGACAACGCAACCAAATATCAACATTTAAAGGAGATGTATCTACTGCTTGGATAGTTCCATCTGAGCCACTGGCTTAATCCCATTCTTTAACTTTTATTTTTGGTTGAGTTGAAGATGTGAATCCAACATATCATTTGTTAACTTGTCGATAAGTTAATAGGCTATTTCTGTATTTCAGAAGTGATATTAAAGTGTTTGGTTATCAACGTAACCAAATATAAACATTTGAATGAGATGTATCTTCTGCTTGTGTAGTTCCATCTGTGGCACTGACTTAGTCTTGCTTTAATTCCAGTTTGTCTACAAATTAATAATTGATATGCTGGGGTCACGTCTCCATCTCAAACAAAAATCTAAGCTATTGAATAGGACTAAATCAAATCCAACTTTAAATGCACTATAAATAAAATGTGATTTGAGTTAGTCCCATACCTTCACTCACAGTGAGCTCCAAAAGTATTGGGACAGTGGCAAATTTTAGTTTTGGCTCTGTAATCCAGCACTTTGGATTTGAAATAATACAATGACTACAAGATTAAAGTGCAGACTGTCAGCTTTAATTTGATGGTATTTTCATCCATATCGGGTGAACCGTTTAGAAATTACAGCACTTTTTGTACATAGTCGCCCCATTTTAGTGGACCAAAAATATTGGGACAAATTAACAAGTTTAGTATTTGGTCCCATATTCCTAGCACGCAATGATTACATCAAAGAATATGGGACCAAACACAACTTTCGACTACTTTAATACACAAGTGAATTATTCCCAATACTTGCTAATTCAATTTCACATTAAATTTGAAATCAACCAGAGCTTGAAACCCTAGGCCTATTGTATGGTTTATTTTTAGTTGAATTCTGGGTTGAATTCAAACACTTGTTGTTGATGACTTTGAAAATGCTATATAGGTCTAAATAGCATCATTGATGATTGATAAAGTATGGCCACATTTCATTTGCTCTGTTAAACCAACCTGGACTCAGGGGTAGATGTAACATATTAAATGTAAATCCGTGACACTCAAATCAGTATGATATGTTACGTTTTGTATAGTATGTATTAATTTGTGGATGTCCATCATCCATTTTGTTTGATACGTTACGAATTCCAATTTGTTGTGGCTAACGTTAGCTAGGTGGCTAACGCTAACATTAGCTAAGTGGCTAACGTCAGCTAGGCTAGGGGTTAGGGTTAGGGGCAAATGTTAGGGTTAAGGTTAGGAGTTAAGTTAAAGGGTTAAGGTTAGGGTTCCGGTTAGCTAACATGCTAAGTAGTAAGTAGTTGCAAAGTTGCCAATTAGCTAAAATGCTAAAATTGTCCGTGATGACATTCGAACACTCAACCTTTGGGTTGCTAGACGTTCGCGATATATGCCCACCCATCCATTGATTTTCCCACCCATCCATGTATTTTCCATGTTGATTCCATGTCACAATACGTTGAAAAATGATGTTCATTCAACCAGTTTGTGCCCAGTGGGAGGCTCCTTCTTCCAGAACTTGTGTTTCTACATTTATGCAGTGCAACACTAGTATTGTTACTACAGCACATCTACTGACTTTGGCTATTTATTCACTTAATCTAAAGGCTAAATTCAATCAAACTGCATTGCAGTAGGACCAAGCATAGATACAGTGGGGGAAAAAAAGTATTTAGTCAGCCACCAATTGTGCAAGTTCTCCCACTTAAAAAGATGAGAGAGGCCTGTAATTTTCATCATAGGTACACGTCAACTATGACAGACAAAATGAGAAAAATAAATCCAGAAAATCACATTGTAGGATTTTTAATGAATTTATTTGCAAATTATGGTGGAAAATAAGTATTTGGTCAATAACAAAAGTTTCTCAATACTTTGTTATATACCCTTTGTTGGCAATGACACAGGTCAAACGTTTTCTGTAAGTCTTCACAAGGTTTTCACACACTGTTGCTGGTATTTTGGCCCATTCCTCCATGCAGATCTCCTCTAGAGCAGTGATGTTTTGGGGCTGTCGCTGGGCAACACGGACTTTCAACTCCCTCCAAAGATTTTCTATGGGGTTGAGATCTGGAGACTGGCTAGGCCACTCCAGGACTTTGAAATGCTTCTTACGAAGCCACTCCTTCGTTTCCCGGGCGGTGTGTTTGGGATCATTGTCATGCTGAAAGACCCAGCCACGTTTCATCTTCAATGCCCTTGCTGATGGAAGGAAGTTTTCACTCAAAATCTCATGATACATGGCCCCATTCATTCTTTCCTTTACACGGATCAGTCGTCCTGGTCCCTTTGCAGAAAAACAGCCCCAAAGCATGATGTTTCCACCCCCACGCTTCACAGTAGGTATGGTGTTCTTTGGATGCAACTCAGCATTCTTTGTCCCCCAAACACGACGAGTTGAGTTTTTACCAAAAAGTTATATTTTGGTTTCATCTGACCATATGACATTCTCCCAATCCTCTTCTGGATCATCCAAATGCACTCTAGCAAACTTCAGACGGGCCTGGATATGTACTGGCTTAAGCAGGGGGACACGTCTGGCACTGCAGGATTTCAGTCCCTGGCGGCGTAGTGTGTTACTGATGGTAGGCTTTGTTACTTTGGTCCCAGCTCTCTGCAGGTCATTCACTAGGTCCCCCCATGTGGTTCTAGGATTTTTGCTCACCGTTCTTGTGATCATTTTGACCCCACGGGGTGAGATCTTGCGTGGAGCCCCAGATCGAGGGAGATCTTCCATTTCCTAATAATTGCTCCCACAGTTGATTTCTTCAAACCAAGCTGCTTACCTATTGCAGATTGTCTTCCCAGCCTGGTGCAGGTCTACAATTTTGTTTCTGGCGTCCTTTGACAGCTCTTTGGTCTTGGCCATAGTGGAGTTTGGAGTGTGACTGTTTGAGGTTGTGGACAGGTGTCTTTTATACTGATAACAAGTTCAAACAGGTGCCATTAATACAGGTAACGAGTGGAGGACAGAGGAGCATCTTAAAGAAGAAGTTACAGGTCTGTGAGAGCCAGAAATCTTGCTTGTTTGTAGGTGACCAAATACTTATTTTCCACCATAATTTGCAAATAAATTCATTAAAAATCCTACAATGTGATTTTCTGGAGAAAAAAAATCTCAATTTGTCTGTCATAGTTGACGTGTACCTATGATGAAAATTACAGGCCTCTCTCATCTTTTTAAGTGGAGAACTTGCACAATTGGTGGCTGACTAAATACTTTTTTTCCCCACTGTAGAACTAGTCCATTTGAATAGTCTTTGCAATGGTAAAAAAGTTTTAAGTTGATCAACTGGGTCAGTTTATGGTGGCACTGGGTAGGTACACTAAAGAGAAAAAATTGTGTTTGACTTAATGCCTTGCTGAATAAGTAGGTTGGTGTCATGGTGAGCTTCCTGCTGAATTTTCACAGCAAGCAAATCTGGAGGAGATGGAGGAAGGGGAAGAGGGCCAGTGTCACCTCAGCAGCACATGAGAGTGTGGTTTATATGCACTGCCAAAACTCAAATCCTGTTTATCTCCCATCAAGTAAAAGTGAAAGAGTACTGCATGAGCACATGACTGTTCAATGAAAAGTGAGTATACTCCAATCCAACAACCAATAATTGTAAAATGTAAATACTGAAGTATCCATCAAACTAAATATTATAAATAAATGAATATAAAACTAAATATGAACTCACCTTTGTCACTCCTATTTGCTCCTTGCGAAACTTCTCCAGTGGCTTGATAAGCAGATCACAAGCATTCTGAACCTGAACAAGAAAAAAACATGAAACATTGAATGTTCTGTTGGCCATTTGGCAAAACATTACCAACATGCAAGATGAGTTATGATAAGAATTTGGGTGAAAAGGGGAACCACGCAAATAGAAGCCTAGAAATGAACAGGGAATTATCTTGCACTCCAGCAGGTGTTGCTCTTCTTCCCTTCACAAAGAGCATCAGCTGTAATTATAGAGCAGCTGTGTTTTTTGTAAAGATCCTTAAAGCATCCAGGAAGCCCAGTATAACAGGATATGCTGCTTTTCACTGCACACTGATAATGCAGTGTCATAACATTATAATATAATTAATATAATTATGCCATTTAGCAGACGCTTTTATCCAAAGCGACTTACAGTCATGCGTGCATACATTTTTTTTTTTTGTGTACGTGTGGTCCCGGGGATCGAACCCACTACCTTGGCGTTACAAGCGCCGTGCTCTACCAGCTGAGCTACAGAGGACCACAACATTATTATTTCTATAGCACAGGGCCAAAGGAAGAAAAGACCAGAGACACTCCAGGAAGCCAGTTCCAGTTGGGGTTTCTCTGATTTCTACCTCTGGTTGTATGAGGGTCAAAGAGGTGCTGCTGATAACCCACCAGCATTATCCTGTCATCCTCCACTTCCTGTAGGAGACCAGCAAACTCCTGGAAAGATTCCGCTGTGGACAAAGAGAAAGATAGATATTAGGTTACATATCATAACTAGGACACACATGTACATAACTACATATTCTTTAACCCTGGACACTGTTTTGACACAAAGGTAATGTGTTATGAAGACATTCTAGCTGTATGATGTGTCACAATACATTTACAGTACGTCTTGTAATGTCACATTACATTATGGTGTAGCCTGTGTTACGTAACTGTATAGTGAATAGATTTAGAAGAGTACTTGTTTCATTATTGTTTAGTGTAATTATATGGGGTAAAAATGTCCTGAGAAGATGACAGGCTCATATGCACTGAACAAGGGAGGAAGTGAAACCAATAAAGGCAACAAAAAAAAAAAGAACTTCCTAATTCAATGAAGTCAATTACACTGAAACTTTGAGAAACATTAATAAATCTGTTGCCAACCTGTCAACGCTAGGGGGGAAAGTCCTAGACTAGACTAGAGCCATATAGCGATATGCAGAATATGGCTTTCAGGCTGACCATTACGGTAAGTGTTTGTGTGACAAAGCACTATATGAACTTACCAATGTTTATCTCATCATCTGTCAGAGAATCACCAATGAAGTCGAACTGGAACACACTGAGTGTCTGGGAGAACTTCTGCACTGCCACTGAATAACCTTCATAAAACACACATTACACTTTATCAACACAATCAACATAATAACAGTAACATTTAGGTATACAAGGATAAAGGGTGTATTAGGACTTTATAAATTAAATTGTGATATTTATTTTGGTGATTGCCAAATATTGGGCTTATATGTGATTGAACTGTTATTATTACAGTTCAGCCATATATAAATAAGCACAGTATTTGGAGAGCAACTAAACAGAAATGGTATGTTTGAGGAAGTCATGCTGCCTGGAATAATAAGAATTAGGAGGCCCACCAACTTCCTCTTAGTCAATTCTTGGTTTGGGCTAACTCAGGACTATTTTCAAAGTTAAAGACAGGAACTGGTTGGTTCCCATGATTAGCCCAGACAGGCAGCATGAGAACGCATCAGATTATTCCTGGTTCCTGAATTTCACTATCAGAAATACAAATGATATACATAATCTTATAACATGTGTTGTATGTTCCACTTCTATTTTCAACATTCTAATGAGTGAAGACAGTCATTACATTAGCAGAGGTGTGTCAACTTCCTTTTACCTCAGGGGTGTGCCAATGAAGAGGCAGGAAATATCAGACAGACTAGTCCAACAATAAAATAACCCATCCTTTCAGTCAAAAGCAATTCTGTAATTTGAGTTTTCAATTTTTTATTGAAAGTTAACCTCCTCACTTCAGTGATTTTTGTTTTGTTTTATACTATACTAGAGGACTTGTGTTTGCACCCAGATGGGTGTTAGGCCTATGATTTATATCATTCGGGGGGAACTCTTATTTCAGCCCCTTATACCTCGACAACAAACACTCTCTTCAAGTGACTCCCAGTTATCACCAAGACAGAATAAGTGATATTTCCTATAATCAGCAGCACTGCATATCTACTTACAATGATAGTTTCTGTTTTCGAGATAAAAAGCTTGACATTTGTGAATTGGGCTACAGAATGGAATCTCGGTGGGTCAAACAATGCAAATACTGTTCCAGTAATTTGGTCCTATACCAACAAAGGCAGCGGTACTCATGGAAAACATCCAAGAGCTGACGTTTGGGATTTGCACAGTGGTACTTTGGTGAAACACTGAGGCTAGCCTTCAGTATACCATTGGCCCAGTCTGGCAACCCAGCTTCCAGTCACCCCTCGACTCACACACACAATACCAAGGGACTGGAAAACATCTCACATCCCGAAAAAGCCATGCTCCAAGGAACACAATGACTACCAACCAGTGGCCCTGACCTTTCATTTGGCCTTTCATTTCGGTGAATAGCAAACTGGACAATCAAGAAACTGTATAAATGTAGGTCCATTATCATTTCTACATAGTTTCGATTTGGTTTTAAAGTATATTGAGTTTGTCCTCCTCCCCCCCCCCACCCCCCCCCCCCCCACCCCCATCACTGCGTGGTAGAACAGTGTCATTGTACAGGCAAAATCCAGTGTGACAAGTCTGCTGAAAACTGTGGAAGGGAGGGGTAAGAATCTTTAAGCCGCACTTCCTTATGATCTGCAAAGGCAGCATTTTCTCCTTATATGTAGAGTAAAATATCACATGGCAGTGGTTTTGGTGGAGAAGAAAACAGGAAGGAAAAGAGACAGGACCATGGCATGGATAAGGCACAGCATGACAACAATGAAAAAACATGGGTGATATTATATGCTACAGGTTCATGTTGCTTATGTGGTTGTGTCTAACAAGGAATCACTGAGGTCTTCCAATGTTTACTTACACTTGCTTAGCATGTGGTTTGGGTTTGGTTATTGACTGTGCAAACATCAGGTCATATTTTTTGTATGACTGAACAAACGTTTAGGCCTACCTAAAATGCTCTGTGGATTTGGATTGACTTTATGAAGCACAGTAAAGGTGTAGGTGTCACATGCGCAAGTCAGCATGGGATGAGTCATACATACCAGAGTTCATTTACACTGTAGCTGTAGGTTGTCTGTCTATCAGGTCATGTTTTTGACATGTTATGTTATGTTGGTTACATAATTAATAGTCTGCTGTCACAGCCCACTGTCATCCACTCATTTCTTATCAAGAAAAGTACAATGTTAGTTAGGCTGATAAACTGGTTGAAATTGTTAGCTTGTCATTCTGCTGCTAGACAAATACTGAGCTTGTGTTGCTTGTGTTACTGTAAAATGTTATTAAATAAAAAATGGACGGTAATCAATACCAATACCAATTTGTAAGTCGCTCTGGATAAGAGTGTCTGCTAAATGACGAAAATTTTAATGTATGTATATAAGGTCACTATTTGGCACACACAATGCATTGGCAATGTTTTTCCATTGATGATGTTATGGATCCATTCACACCCATGTATTTTTACAGGAATCCATCAGGAGCTCCAAGAGATTATAAACTGGGTGGTTCGAGCCCTGAATGCTGATTGGCTGACAGCCGTGGTATATCAGACCATATACCATGGGTATGACAAAACATTTATTTTTACTGCTCGAATTACGTTGGTAAACTGTTTATAATAGCAATAAGACACCTCAGGGGTTTGTGGTATATGGCCAATATACCATGGCTAAGGGCTGTATCCATGCAGGCACTCAGCGTTGAATCGTGTGTAAGAACAGCCCTTTGCTGTGGCATATTGGCAATACCACAACCCCTCGTGCTTATTGCTTAATTATATCATATCAAACATTCTTTGTTTTTTTTGGAAACGAATTTTGATGTTGGCTGTGTCAAAACAATGCAGATTCCTCTCCTACATAGACACATTTTTTAAAGCCCACAAACAGTCTAGAAAGTAATACAAAGGGGGAAGAAAAAGAGAGCACCTTACCCTTGATTGCATTGATTACACTGTTGCCATCTTTGATTACATCTTTGAGAAATTTGCTTGTTCTTTCCAATTCTAATTCATAGCATTTTAGTCTTTCTCTAAAATCCGGACTGTCCTCATAGCAGTCGCTGAACTCAAGAGGAGGATGCCCCATTGCTTATTTTTGGAATGATGTACAGTAGCCTCGATGTTGGAATTAGAAGTCTGAATTAATGCATCGTTACATTGCAGAACATTGTTAATAAAATGTCCAGATTGAGATTTGGGTAGCCCACTCCTCCAGAAATGAATGCAGTCGAATCATTGGACACGTGGCACGCAGTGATTCTTCTTGGTTTCTTGATGCATTAATTCATTAGGTAAACAATGTTAGCTGATTCTTGTTACAATTTATTTTCGTGTCTATCTGGGTCCGTTTTGTGCATTTCATCAATGTATCTTTCCTTTGTCGACTTCTTCCTTGTTGGGGGTGGTGGCTAAAACACTGAGATAGGGCCAACTGAGAAAAGCGGGCAGGGCCTTGCCAAGGACCTCCTCATTTCACACCCATAGCAGAATTCTTAAAGGGACAACTACACCAAACGTTTTCCATATTTTGATATTTTACTTATAGTTGTTGTCTCTTAAATTTGCAAATCATACCAATATACTTTTTTGATCTCTGAACCACACTTGGCGCACATGCTCTTGAACATTGCAAGGCAATCCCCTCCATATTGACATCAAACATCCGATTATTTGCATAAATTACCATTTATACTAGTATTGCATTCTAACCGGAATATATTCCTTTTGAAAATGTGCTGATCTTAGAAATTCTGGAGATCATGCAACACATAAAAGTTTGTCTACTTTGTGTACGTTTTTTCTCTCCAGGATGTAGCTGGCTTTCAAGCCACGTGACATCATGGTCAAAACATGACGTTTCATTTCCGTGTGGACAAAATGGCGGAAGTGGATGAGTCAAGTAAACCTATGGTAAGAAGAAAGTAAATAATGGAATTACCGGTATTCTTGTACAACATTGTATGAATTCTTAAATATCTTATTTTTCGTAGTATACACCAATGTTCTAGCAAGCGTTTCTGGTGCCAATATTAAATACAGATAGTTAGTAAGGGAATGTCAACATGGGTGTTGCAGTTAGCTAGCTAACTAGCTACAGTAGTTAAACTAACGTTAGGTAAACACGTCGAGAGAGAGAGAGAGAGAGAGAGAGAGAGAGAGAGAGAGGAGAGAGAGAGAGAGAGAGAGAGCCGGTGTTTGTTCCGAACAGTCACTGTCCATGCAAAAGTACTGAATGCCTTCCAAAACCAGAGGGAGAACTATAGCAACTGTAGCTGTCTAACTACGTTGGCTAGTTAGCTAACCAGCTAGCTGTATAACTAACATTAGTTAAAGTACAGTAAAGAACTTGGCGCTAGCTAACAAAATGTAATACGACCGCATTGAATTATCTTGAAGAAAGTGTATTGGCTAAATGCCAACAATTGGTTGTTGTCTTTATTGAGAGCCAAGTATTTCTGTGTAATGTTACCTGTGTTTCTTATCTCCAGTTTGCAGGTCTGTCAGATGTATCCATATCAGGAGACATCCCTGTTGAGGGGGAGATCAATGTTCCTGTTGGAACCCCCAGTCATGATGACGAATACTCCACACTGGATGAACCTGTCAAAGACACCATAGTAAGATTTCCCTCTTCATACTGTGCACACTTCAATCTTAAATAACAGCTTATTTTTATTTTTCTGTTTTTTATATATATTTCCACACTATGAGCGTTGGAATAATGTTAGGAACATTATAATTAATGTCGTTTTAGTGTAAGAGCTGTTTGAAAAGACCGCCTGAAATTTCTGCCTGTTTTGGTGGGATGGAGTTTGTCTGCCTGGTGATATCACCAGGCGGTAAATTACTGTAGTTAATAGACCAATAGGAAAGAGTGTTGTAAACCTCTGTCATTAACTGCTAGTTTTCCGTTTTCCCCTCCCCATTCAGACCACTCCCAGACAGTCCTAGGAAAATTCTTGCTTGAGAAATTGCTCTTTGCCAAGAAGCTATTGTTGTTTAATTTTTACCATTCTAATTGAAATCCATCACTATGACCATGTTTCCATCCAGAGTTTTTAATGTGAGTAAAGTCATACTGTATATAGAATAAATCACTACAGCTGTGATGGAAACAGGTAGATTCGGTAAAAAACTGTAAATGTTTGTTCGACATGGTGGGATATTTTTGTGTCTGTAAAATTAATTATGCGAGAAGTGGTGGTGGTGGAAATCCCTTTATGTGCAAATATTTATATAATAACCATCATATCGTATTAAACTTGGAGTCACGTGAGTAGTAAGGTACTTAATTGTCACCCAGAAATGATTTGATATTGAGATAAAAACGTCTGCATTGGACCTTTAAAACCTCTTCTAAAGTCTCTCTCATGTCTCATTTACAGTTGCGAGATCTGAAAGCTGTGGGGAAAAAGTTTGTTCATGTGATGTATCCTAAGAAGAGTTCCACGCTACTAAGAGACTGTGAGTACTGTATACTTTGAAAGATGAATGAATCTTTTATACTATTCCAACATAATGAATAGGTATTACATGATGTGACCTAGCTGTATCTTACTTAGTGATATCTATCCAACATGTACAAGAATAACAGTATGTATATAGCAAACATGACTTAAACTGACATTTGTAATAGTACCTAGGAAAATGTGACAAACTAAATGTGCCAGGTGTTCAGTCGTCACTACTTAACACAGCCACAAAGTCATAAAAAAATTTTAAAAAGATTCACCTTTATTTAACCAGGTAAGCCAGTTGACAACAAGTTCTCATTTACAACTGCGACCTGGCCAAGATAAAGCAAAGCAGTGCGATAAAAAACAACAACACAGAGTTACATATGGGGTAAAAAAAACATAAAGTCAAAAAATACAACAGAAAATATATATACAGTGTGTGCAAATGTAGCAAGTTATGGAGGTAAGGCAATAAATAGGCCATAGTGCAAAATAATTACAATTTAGTATTAACACTGGAATGATAGATGTGCAAGAGATGATGTGCAAATAGAGATACTGGGGTGCAAACGAGCAAAATAAATAACAATATGGGGATGAGGTAGTTGGGTGGGCTAATTTCAGATGGGCTGTGTACAGGTGCAGTGATAATTATGGCTAAACCCCGCCTATTTCTATAACTTCTCTTTTTAAAATCTGATTTTAGACCTAACCCTAACCCCATTGCTAACCTTATGCCTAACTTTAAATTAAGACCAAAAAGCTCATTTTTGTTTTCATAAATTTTTACGATATAGACAATTTTGACTTTGTGGCAGTGGTAACTAGTGACAACCCTGGTGTTATAGTAATATTATTTTAACTTCTTCCTATACTACCTAGGAAAATTTGACAATGGTAATTGTGTTTGATTTTCTAGGAATATTGTGTTAACTTCCTCCTCTTTTCCAGGGGACTTATGGGGCCCATTATTGCTCTGTGTGACACTGGCTCTGTGAGTATTCATGTTTCAATGTAGTAGCAGAATATGACTGATGACACTCGTTTAAAGGGGCAATCTGCAGTTGCTACATCCATTTTTGGACTTATAAATTAATCATATGTACCCATTTGATTCTTGAAGAATATAACTTAGAAATGCCTCATGAGCTTAGTTCCCCTGTCATACCCCATCAGAACCCAAAATGCAAACTTGTTTTACTCCAATGTTTGTAAACAAAGTAAATGTAAGCAAACACCATATAGCCTCAAAATATGGTTAAAACTATACTTTTGATATAATGGATGCTCTTTGCATCCATAGCCCTGTATATGAATTTGAGAGTGGTTACATTTCTCCAGCCCCATCCCTTTAGCTTTTCACCAAAACGGGGGCAGGTAGAATGCTTTGTTATTGTTTCAACTGATGATTGCCATTTAAGAATGAAAGACGACTGGAGAAGGATGAGCTATGGATTGATAATGTTTCCTTCCTGTTTTCAGGATGTTGCAGGGGGGTTCAGTTGACAGTAAGGAAGACGGAGGGCCCCAGTTTGCAGAGGTGTTTGTGATCATCTGGTTTGGATCTGTCATTATCACACTGAACTCAAAGCTGCTGGGAGGAACCATGTACGTGTCCATCATTTACAACTGCCCAACTTTCTAGCTTCCAATCATTATAGTAAAATTAATCCAATATAAAAAATTATTGCATTTGAATATGCAAATACTGTAATATGATTAGTTCCATAAGAAGTTAATTTTATTTATTCATTGAAAACGTAGAAATATGTGCATTTAAAATGATTGTTTTCGTCCCTCTCTAGATCTTTTTTCCAGAGCCTGTGTGTGCTAGGCTACTGCATCATGCCTCTGACCGTGGCAATGGTTGTCTGTAGGCTGGTGCTGCTGGGTGGGTCTGGGATGGTCAGCTTCATTGTCCGACTAATTGTGGTCACAGCATCATTCAGTTGGTCCACGTTTGGTAAGGAAAGTCATTTTCGTAAGGAGACAATTATATAACATTTTTTATTTGGTTGGCTATGTTTACTGGTGCCAACACACCTCTACAAACACATTGACTGTTTGCAGTCATACTGACTTTCAGTAGGTGGAGCTGTCGCATAAAGATTAAACTTGTTCAAGTGTTCCTCAAAACATTAGTACTACATTTTAATAGATTATACAGTCTAATCTTTATTATAACCTGTGTGGTTCGAGCCCTGAATGCTGATTGGCTGAAAGCCGTGGTATACCACGGGTATGACAAAACATGTATTTTTACTGCTCTATGTTGGTAACCAGTTTATAAAGCAATAAGGCTCCTCGAGGGTTTGTGATATATGGCCAATATACCACGGCTAAGGGCTGTGTCCAGGCACTCCGCGTTGCGTCTTGCCTAAGAACAGCCCTTAGCCGTGGTCTATTGGCCATATACCACACCACCTCGGGCCTTATTGCTTAATCATAAAACAAGTCACTGATAACATGTAGCTGAATGTATGTATATGTTTTCCCCCCAGCCTCCACAGCTTTCTTAGCAGATAGCCAGCCTTCCAATCGCAAAGCTTTGGTGGTGTATCCCGTCTTCCTCTTTTACTTCGTCATTGGATGGATGATTCTCACGTTCTCACCGTCCGCGTAACAGTGGACTTATCTCTAAACTGAACTTAACACAATCCTTTTGGAATAGAATCCTTTTGGAATAGAAGGATACAAATCAACACCTTGTCATTTGGGAAAGCCGAGGACCATGAAGTGTTGGGAGTACTCTTGGTGGAAAACGTTGTGCATGTTCCGTTGGCGCCACAAGGAAAATGGTGAGATTTGACAAAAGTGCACAGTACTTTGCCTCTCTCTTTTTTTGTTTCCATTATTGCTAAGCTCAGCTAAGAAATACGGTGGAGTACAATGCATACAAAAGAGTCAAAGTGAGTCCCTATAAGGATATCAGAAAAGCTTATCTGCTTGATTAAACAGGCTCTCTGTGTCTCACATGAAGAGTGAGCTAGCAGGAATAAACTAGCAGGAATAAAGGGGACCATGAGATCTATATTCTATGTGACGGTCCATTTACCTATCCCACTGACTAATATGTGATGCCAGTGTGTATGTATACTGTACTCACTACAGCCTGCTGCATATGCCCCATTTTCAACATTACTTAGAAGCTTTCTGTTTTATTTTGGAATAAGTTAATTATTTACAAGTAGTATTATCTCATTTAGAAATTAGGATTTGATTATCCAAGGATAGTAAGTGGCAGTTTTGCTCAATTTTCATGTGAGCAACATTTATAATGATGTACAGTAGGTGGCTGTAGTTAACATTTTCTGGGGAAAGTTATGTTATTATATATTTATAAATGCCCTGTTCTCTCTCAGTAATTTAATATAATTATATTAAAACAGAAATGTGAGAGAAAAAAACTATGTAATTCTCCAAAACCTGAATCATTTGTATTTGTTTCAAAAAATGTTTTTATTTGTTTCTATAATATGGTGCAAAATCTGATGTTTTTCTGTTGTTCAGATGCTAGTCAGGGTCTCTATGTAGCATGAATCACAAAGTACACCTTAAGTACAGTCATCAAATGTATTGTACATGGGGGTAAGCACTCTGCCATTTACCACTTAAAATTTGCCATTGGTCCTTGGGGTTAGCTGATACGTAAAATACCTATCCAGGCGTTGTAAGATCGGGCATGCGTCAGAAAAGCCTGGGCAGAGGAACAGGCCCTTTAAAGGTGAGTTTAGACTCATAAATAACTACTCAATATTATTTGTAGATCAGTCAGTCACCATTTACCCATGATGCATCACGGTTTTGATTCTCTCAAACACGGCCACTGATCACATCTGGTGTGCATCATGTGATTTTTAAACAACTATGAGCAGGCAAAGGTTAGTAAGTAAAAGTAAGTTGATGTTGAAAAAGGGTGAATTTCCCCCTGACAAGAGGCATCATGCAGAGTGATTCCTGGTTTGAAGATATTGGGCATGTTTAAGTGGTAAGCCGAAAGTAGTCTACGAGTAAAGCCGGAAGAGGTACATATGCATCGACAGCAAGTCAGACAACTTCTGCTATTTCTAGGAAACGCGACAATGGCTGACATGGCATTCACCTTTGTTATTGCTGATGAAGTGGATGCTATCGAAATTCCACTTCTCCTACACGAAGCTGAACATGATCAACATGGTCCAAGGAATGAATATCCTAATAAGGAAATTAGACACTAGCCCAAGCTCTAACATTCACAAGACTTGTTTTGTATCTTTGTGATGTTTTCTCAAAATATAACCAGGTAGTGAGTGCATAGGCTACTAGAATGAGAACATATGTGTTTTTGCAGCATATGGGATATGCTTTGTTCTTTTCCATTACTTTATGCCCTTGTACCTTCTTCATTATTATTTGTGATTGTGTAACATAGAATTGTAACAGATGTGATTAAATGGATTCCATAAAGATTCTTACTGTATGGTAATTGATGCATGTCAGCATTACTACAGCTTGCGGTGTTTTCTTTAATTCTCAACCTTTATGTTGCTTTTGTCAGTAAGCATTTAAAGAACATAGTTTTATTCAATCACATGAAGGACAAAACACACTGTACAGAAAAAGATTAGACTATACATGTACATCAGTTCACATAAGTTACTGGGTAAACAATATGCCAAGCAGTCAAATGCACTTAAGTATTGACCCCACAACTGGTGTCTGGGGTAGTTGCTCATTAAGGGACGGTTTCCTGGACACAGATTAAGCCTCTAAAATTGCCAGTGTAGAAATCCCCTACAATAACCCATGTGTAGACTACAATATGTATTCAATTTTATTCACTCTTACTAGACAATCAACAAATTTAATTTTGTTTGGTGACAACAATATTACAGACAAGACTAATTGTAGGCTATAACATAGCACATGATATTACAGTAACATTGAGAAAAATACATTAGCTATATTGATGCAAGTAGGATATTTCATTTATTAATATTAGAAATGTGGATCACATTAAGGCCTATGTAATTAGATTGTAAGGATGTAGAGCATGTAGTGCCTTTTGCTTCCAAAAAAAACAGAAGGTTGTCTCCCACAATGCTTTGGTTCCGACTTCAAATTACTGTTGGTGAGGAGCAACTGCAGAAATGTCCAGTCGACCACAGTTCAAAGTTCATGACCTTTCATCACATGGTTTTATAAAGGTCATACTAAAGACATGCAGTCGACATGTAGTGTTTCTGACTTTGAAATGTTCAAATATAGGGATTTGGAAGAATAGAAGTCCTTGCCTTGGTATATGTTTTTCATGTCACTAATAATATAACTCCAATGTATGCAATAAGTACTCAGGCCTACAACAGCAGCAGTTTAACTAAAAAGCATATTTTGCATATAATACCGGTAGTTAAATAGCCTCTGTGAAACTTCTTACAGCAAACAGCATTTTCCACCACAATTAACAAAACACCAAATTATGGAAATTCTTGTGTAAGAATGGTGTCGCATCCCTCCAATAGAGTTCCAGACACTTGTAGAATCTATGCCACGGTACAGTGAAGCTGTTCTAGTTTGTGGTTGCCCAACGCACATTTAAAACACTTTATGTTGGTGTTTCCTTTATTTGGCATTTACCTGTAACTTGTCTGCAAAAACAATCTTAAGCAATGCAAACGTTTCTGCCTTCATCATGAAGTTTGTACTTATATAAAACTGTAACTACACCTATAATAAGTGGGGGGAAGAAAATGTATGTTCCCTTTCCTATCAAATTAATAGTTTTTTTAAAGCTACTTAGGCTACATGGTGCTGAGTTACACTGACTAATTACGGTATTGTACATTTTCATCCACATGTATTTTGGTAATAAGGTGTGGGATATCCCTCAAGGAGTATTTTTTGTAGTTATCTCAGTGACATATTGCATTCAGTGTAGTCTACAGAACATGTTTCAGTTGGATGGGTTTTTCTCTCCACAGTTATTGAAGTTCCCACAAATACCCGAGCCACCCTCTATTATCTGACACCCATTTAAAGTCCTTAATGGGACTGAAGACCATCACCAACAGAACAAAGACAATATAGATCCCACTAAAGCATCTTAATTGAAGTTATTTCCCATCACAATCTCACCACCATTATATAAGTTCACTAAAGCTTTAGAGGGATCTTTGTAAAATGAACTATATTGGCCCAGGAGGCAATAGTTTGATATTCTTGTAGAGGAGAAAAAAGCAGGGAAGATTGCCACTTCCCCTGAGTCGAGAAGTCAGGCTTAACTGCCAGCCTAGCAGACACTTTTTCTATTGTATCTGTCTATCAAATCACCCTCTATGAATCTGTTATAACAACTTCAACAACAGTGTTCTAGAAATGTCACTCAAGCAGCACTGTCCTTTTTCTGAGTGGACATGTACATTTACTGGTAGAGAGAGGTATGTTCAATTGCCAATGGGCTTCTCTTATAGCAGACAACACCATAATGAAAACAAAGACGTAATGAATGCATGTAGTGTAGAAAATTGACAAAAGTTACTGTGATGAATTCCAAGAGCACTTGAGAAATTCTAAGTATGACTGACATGTAATCCCCACCAGGTCAAGTGTTTTCCCATGAATGACCATGAATATATCCCCACAATATAGAAAAAAATCAATTATTGTAATTGTTGATAGTTCATCATTTATTCTGCATTATGCTTGTCAGTTTGCAAGGTGCTAGCTTCTATTTGCATATATGCTAATGAAACAAACAATAAACTTGTGTTATGTATTCAAGAGTGAAAGCCATCAATTATTTTAATTTTTTTTGTCATTTAGCAGACGCTCTTATCCAGAGCGACTTACAGGAGCAATTAGGGTTAAGTGCCTTGCTCAAGGGCACATCAACAGATTTTTCACCTAGTCGGCTCGGGGATTAGAACCAGCGACCTTTCGGTTACTGGCACAACGCTCTTAACCACTAAGCTACCTACCGCCCAATAAAAGACATCACCGGCCAATTCAAATTCAATCAAATGTATTTTATAAAGATCAGTAGTTCAATAGTTCCATGCTGACTCTATTAAATTGTAACCGAATTTATGATATTGTTGGGGATGAAAACACCATATTATGTGGTCTTTGAGCTTTGCTGACTTAATATACTGGAAATCTATAAAAATACAAAATATTCAATGATCGGCATGCTTGTCTCATCAGGCCTTCATGACAATATTAATTAAAGTATGTTGTGTGCTATTCTGGATAGTGGAAAACACAGTACTGTATATGAGATGAGGAATAGAAATATAATAATATTGTCCATTGTTCTGTTGTCAATCATCCCACAGTGTGTGGGTATAGCATGGTTTCAGAGGACATTCCTTGGTCAGCGCACATTGGGACCTTTGTGCATTCTATGTCAGTCAAGAGTTGTTTATGTGTTCACTCATCATTGAATTTAGTAAGTTTAGCCTTTTACATAACTGGGGTCTGGGAGGATTATGGTCTTAAATTGCTTAGAACTGTCATGAAATCCCTTTAGTATTTTTGATACACTGTGCTTCCCTTCTTGACCCACACAGAGAGAGAGAGAGACAGATACCAACAGAGAGAGAGAGACAGACATCATACTGTACGCTGTTTTTGAGGGGCCCTTTT